CTTCCACTCTCGTCCCGCCAGTTGTTCTGTCATCTCAATGCGAAATTGCGGAGGAACGTAGAGCATTACTCATAATAAGAGATGTTACAATTTACATTTCGAGGAAACAGATGTGGGGGAGACTCCATAGCTGAAAAATGGCATGACTGTGGAGTCTGCGATTTTTTCAATTAATCTTCCATTTTAAGCAAATGAGCGTGTATGATACGAATGTAACTCAACTGATGCCATCAAAATATAATCATGCGTTATGGGCCTATGGGGTTCGTGTTTCAGAGAATTAAGGTGAGAAATTTTGAATTTTTTGCCAAGCTATTGATTTCGTTTTTGCTGATTACTTCTTACTTTTGCTTGCAGGTTTGGTAGCGATTGAATAAAATGTTTGAAAAATGCTTGAAGTGCTCAGAATTTCTTGATCCGTAACCGACTTCCTGACATTTTCCTGTTTTTCCTGATGATATAGAATTTATTGGATATTTGCCGGTTTTTACCGATATTCGCCACCCTGATATTCATACATCGAAAAAGAAGAGGTAGGAGATAAGTCTCAACTGTTGGATGATATAGACATTTCCAATGAATTGTGGTAATACCCCGATTAATTGTGGTAGTATCCCGATAAATTAGGTTTTTAACCCAAATGTTGCGGTAGGTACTACCCCAACTTGAGTTGCGATACTACCAAAATTAATTCGAAACTTCCATATCATCCAAAAAATTGGGGTAGTACCACAATTTTAGGGGATAACCCCTCACACCTTTTTTTCCGTGTACTACAAAGAAAAATGAACGACTGAATCAAATCGAAAGAATTTAAGAAGCACGCGAATCGTGTTTACGCAGTCCTTTTGATCTACATCATTCGTACATAGCACCTACGACATGAATACATCCCGATACACTTCGACTAAAACTTCAACATAATTAAACTGGAGGATTCGAACCCACTTGCTCGCGGTAACACGATCCGCGAAGCTTCCTAACCACTAAGCCGTTCGAATAATGAGCCTCAACCAGCCCTCCTCCTCAGAGTGTTGTGGACGATGACACAGTTTTTGACTAAGTTTTTCTCGCCCCCCCCCTCCCCCAATTTAGCCAATGTTCCCTCGAGTATCGCGTTAGCGCGACACAACGACGGCGAGGGGTCATTAAAAAGTTTACTTTTCATGATAAATCAATGCGTTTGAGCGGCGAATTTATATTTTACTGCCCAAGAGAGTAGTCAAGCGGCTCCGCGATGAACTCGGTGCATGCACTTCTGCCGTGCTAAGGAAGAACGCCGTATGTCCCTTCAGACGTTGCCTAATCTTCTTCGGGAAAACTCGAATTTTCGGGAATATTTGTCGACTTTTTCCATCCAACTTTTAGAAGCATTTTGTTCGTGATTCGATCTCAGGATGTCTAGTATTTCTTAATTTTGGAAAATCCTGATATTTTCCTGATTTGTATGAAAAAATTCCTGATTTTTTCCTGATTTTCAACAAAGACGGCGCGTCGACTCCTGGCACGGTAGGCAAAAAGCAGTAAGACTCCTCCACTGAGGAGATTCGCGTAAGAAAAATTCCTGATAAAACGTCCGATTTTTCCGATTTTCCTGATTTTTTCCTGATCGACCAAAATTCCTGTTATTTTCCAGTTTTTCCGGTTTTTCCTGATGCTAGATACCCTGGATCTAAAGTTTCTGGAAATTTTAAAGAAAAATATGCATGACAGTCTTCGACAGTAAATATTTCCTGAGAGGCGATTTGGCAACATTCGGTTGCTCATACGGCGTTTTTCCTAAGCGCGGAGGACTTGGTGGTAGTAAGTGTTGGAGAAAAAAATAAAGCTCGGCGCTTAGGAGATGCGCGCTTTGCATCGACGAATCCGAGCCCCGAGGCGCAACTATTTTCATAAATAAACTCAAATTGATTTAGTGGACGAAAGAAAAAATGAATTCGAGAAGGAGGGAAGTTACAGTGCACTTATACTGCTAATGCATAATTACTAGGAGAGCGGACAAGGGGGGGGGGGTTGAATTGGCAATACGTGGGCGGCGGGGAAGTGCACGCCGCACAGTAATCCAGGACCCGGGTTCGGATCATAGACAACGATAGAGTTGATTCTTGATGAAAATGGCTTAAAAATCATGATGAGCGCATCAAAACACGATTTTGTGACTAGCTAAATTGCGGGCTGATTTTTGAAATTGATAGACAAAGCGATAGAGAAAGAAGATATAAAGGAATATGGAACGATCCTATTGGTTGAAATGGGTGGTTCTTGTAGACAAAGGGAGAAAATTATGGACCAGCAAGAGGGTATCTCGCAGGTTGCTGTTAGTTAGTCTATAACCTAAATCTTTTGTCTAATGCAAGCACCTGTTTCCACCAATAGGATCCCTCAATATCCTTTTTGTCTTCCTTGTCTATGGCTTTGTCTATCACTATCCATTTCAACAATCAGCCCGCTGACCCATTAAAGTTTCCTGTCAGAAGCCACTGCACTTGAACCATTTTCTCAAAGCTTCATTTCATGAGGTAACTGGTTCTTAGGGTGTCTCTTACACCAGGCTAGCCAAAAATCAGTTCTTTTTCAGTGTATTCTCAAAAAATCCAGTATCTCCTCGACAAAAAAATTCATTAATTTTTAGTGCCTCCATTTAACGAAATTAGAAAATTTGGAATTCTCGCTCGGATTGCGACGAAAATGACGCAGACGCAAAATGTCATTGGTGGCTTGAAGATTAACTGACTGCACAATTGCGATCTTGCAGGTGAACACTGAAAATACGTGGGTTTAAATGGGGAATGCTACCAGATCACGTCACTAGGCGGTGCATTATCTCACTTTTAAATCTATTTTATGCAAATTCCTGTATCAGAAAAAAATTATAAAAAATTCTGTGAAATCAGCTCGTTAAGCTTTAGATGAAGCAATAAAAAAATTGCATGCCAACTCTCCATTCCGGACTTGTAGCCAGGTTCTCTTCGGTAGTACGGCAACGATCATCCCTTAACTACCGGGCTAGGGAAGGACGCTGTATGAGCCTTCAGACGTTGCCAAGTTTCCTTCAATAAAAACCGAATTTACTGGGCAAATTGCGAATATTATTTTCCAAAATTTTCAGACAATTTTGTACGCAATTTAATCTAAAATAACTGAAAATTTCAAGGAAAAATATGCATGAATGTTATCAAAAATACTTGTTATATCCAGGGAAATTTGGCAACTCTCGAATGTTCATACGCATTCTTCCTTAGCACGGCAGTAAAGCGTGAGTTTGGTCCAGGTAAATCCAAGTTTGAGACTCTGGTGCGACGGTTGCGGCGATTGCGGGTCGCTCGACTGTTTCGACGGCTCGGCTGCCGACCGAGTGCCGATCCGGATCCGGGTGATTCATGGCGCTTGGCCGCTTGGCCTCAAACTTGGGTACTAACCTAACTCCCAACTTTTCGCCGGCCAGGAGCAGAAGCCCACTCCTATGCGCCCCAGCCTACTTCCACCAATGGGGAAACCCCGTATGTACCATTGCACCTTCCTTCGTCGCCAAGGTTCTTCGATAAGATTCGGATCCCTAAGAAACTAATTAACACTAGGAGGCTCTGCCCCCTAGCCTTGTGTTGCCTACATTAAAAATTGAAGGAAAACCGATACATCGTCAAAGTAATTTCTTCCTGCTTGACAAAAAGCTATCGTTTGTGTGTGCCTCGAGTAGGCGTGCCATTTCACGATGATACCACCATTCGATCACGTGAGAGCTCGTCTTGCCTACGCTACAAATTGAAGGCAAACTGTCGTCTAGTAAATATTTCTGTGTGGCAAAAAACTTTGTGATAGTTGTTCGCTTTATTGCTTTTCTATGATCTGAAAACATTAAAACACGATTTTGTGACCAGCGCATCCAAACAAACACCCAATTTTTTTATGCTTTCAATGAGAATCGACTTCCCAACATTCGGTATTCGTTGATGAAGTAACGACTAATAGTTTCACTCTAAATATCGATCTTTCCCCACAGGTTCAAACGAAAGATCAATCGATATATCGCAATACAAGCCACGCTACTAGTCAGATAACCTTCAATTTTTAGTATAGGCAACACAAGCTCCTACGTGATCGAATCGTGGTATTATTAAGAAATGCCGCGCAGACCCGGGACATACAAATAAGATCGTTTTCCCCAACAGGAAGAGGTTATTTGACAATACATCGGTGCTCCTTCAATTTTTGGTGTAGGCAACACAAGACCTCACATGGTCAAACCATCGGGAAATTGCACGCTCAGTCGTTCAATCGGGGCACACACACACAGTGGAGATGTTGCATGTGTGAGGGATTTGCGATTTGACCGTTGATTCTTATGTAAAAGTTCGCGAGAAACACGATGGTGCCACTGGTTTTCTCTAAAATTAACTCCCAAGCTCAAAAAAAGCTCTCAAAGTAAGGTCAAAATGGAAGGAAGGGATATCCCGCCCTACCCTGAGAGTCCACCTTTACATCAAAACAAACTCTCCATGCAAAGATAAGGAGCAAATACATCAGCAGGGTTGCCGTGTTTTCAGTTTTGGAGTCCCCAAATCAAGTGGCAGCCCTCTCGATGTATTTGCTCCCTATCTTTGCATGGAGAGTTTGTTTTGATGTAGAGGTGGACTCTCAGAATAGCGTGGGATATCCGCTCCATTTTGGCCTCAACTTGAGAGCTTTTTTTGAGCTTGGGAGATGATTTCAGAGAAAACCAGTGGCACCATCGTGTTTTTCGCGAACTTTTACAAAAGAAACAACAGTTAAATCGCAAATCCCTCACACATGCAACATCTCCATTGCTTTTTACCGCGCGGGAAGAGATTACTTTAACGATATGTCGATGCTCCTTCAATTCTAAAAAATACACTAAATGTAGGCAACACAAGATGTCACATGGGGTCGAATAGTGGTATCATCGTGAAACGACACGCTAACTCCAAACAAGATAACAGACCTCGAGCAAACTTTAAAAAAGAAAGTTCAAGGAGACTTACCAGCAATTCTGTTGGTTTTCTCGGCGGAGGCGGCCGCTGGAGTGTTCTGATCGGCGAAGGGCGGGTCGGCGGGCCCGGTCGCGACCATGCTCTGCCCGGGAGGCGCGGTCTCGACCTCGGGGTGGCTCGGCATGGGCACGTCGTCGCCGCCGCCCGGCGGCGGCGCCCCCTCGCTCTCCCCGGCCTCGGCGCCGTTGACGAGGGCGTAGACGGCATTCTCGCCGACGAGCACCTGGTTGAGCTCGGTCACCGGGATGATGCAGATCTGGTTCGTCCCGTTCTCGACGAACGTCAGGCAGAGCTTCTCGCCCGCCTCGCTCCCATTCCCGCTTTGCCGCTGCGCTTGGGCAATCGTGCCGACCGCGGGGTCGTCCGCCTTCGGGTCCTTGCTCGCGACGCGGATCGACGCGACGCTGTTCACGCGGATGATGCCCTTGTCGATGAGCGCTTTGACGAGGAGTCGCTCGAGGTTCTCGCACCTTCCATTTGGGCTCGGACCCTGCGCGGGCGCCTTGGCTGCTTGCGGATCTGCGCTCTCAGGTACGCCTGTAACAATCGGAAATACCAAAATCAGAACACAGTCACAATGAACACCCCCCGATGTAATGCCCACAGGCGGTTCCGGGGCTTCATTAGATTAGTTCTTTTAATCTCAAGATCAATAATGTATTTAATTTGTACCATCTTTAATATGTCTATGTAACTCTAAATATCTAATAAAGCATTACAAAAAAAAAAAATAAAAAATGAAAAAAATAAAAAAGTCACAATGAACGAGAGTGCGGTAGAAATCACCCTCAAGTTTAGAGATGAAGGGTTTGGAGGACAAGCCGCACAAGTGCAGTTTTTGCTACTTCGAGAAATACGCGTTTGAAGTTTCGAAATTAACTGGATCCTTATGGCAGAAAAAAGTTCAAACTGGCTTTGTGATGTTTAAAAATTGGAGTTTGGGAGTGAATCATTCACAGAATATGCAATCAGACTAGTTTTACTTGAAATCATAAACACCTCAATGTTTTCAAACACTGCGCTTATTCGCTTTGTCCTCCAAGCCCATCAAATAAGGTTATAGCTGTAGTACAGTACCTATGTAGAGAGAGTACGGACATGCCGGTAATTTTGAGGTTAGGTCATGGATGGAGTAAGAAGGGTCGATTTTGGCGGAAAATGTGTGTTTTGCGTAAATGCGGTCAAATACCGAAGAATCAGCATTATTCGCAAAAATCGGCCTTCAGGCCCATGTTTAATAGTTTAGGCATGGTTCGGCCAAATATGACCAGATCATGAGCATCCTTTAAAATGTAGACCTTCAATAAGCAAAATAATGTAAAGTTGAGGAAATTAAGATAGGGTGGACCCAAAACGGCCCTTTTCTACACCCCTCTTTTCCCTGAATTTTCAAGAGCTTCTCACCCTGCGATTTCTCTTTCTGACCACGACGACTAGTCGATGGCTGCGAGTCAACCCGGTACAGCGACGTTCCTGAAGGGACGGATGACGGAGGGAAATCACCGTGACAAGACACGAAATTGCAGAGAGGAGAAAATGAAGGAGGGTGAGGAAGTGGGAGGACGGAGGAAAAAAGGGCGGCTGGATGGAGGAAAGAGGAGGGAGGAGGGCTGGTTAAACATATGAAGCCACAAAATTTGATGAGCCCACAAAAATGAGCGGGAAGCGAATTGGAAGTCCGAGGGCCGACAGGAAGAGGTAGAGTGCCAAGAAGGGGTGGTCGGGGGGAGGGTGAAAGCGCGGCGGAGCCGAAATGCGGTCCCTGAAGAGGTGGGAGCGGGAGCACCGATGGTTATTGGTGAAAAGTCGAAACAAAAATCACTTCATTGAATATTACATTCGTCGCCACGCAGTCGAGGAGCCGCCCGAGGCACATTTTAAACTTGCTCAATGTTTCAGCCGGCTCCTTCCAAGAGGCGCGATGCAACCGGCTCGACATACTTCTTGCTGACCCGCCAAAACTTCCTGCCTTCCGCCTCTCTATTCTCCCGTGCTAAGGAGGAACGCCCTATGAGCCTCCAGACGTTGCCAAATTTCCTTTTAAGAATCACGAATTTTCGGGAAAATCTGTATGTGTTTTTCATTTGATTTTACAGAGCTTGTTTGCAATTTCATCTAGTGTCTGAAAATTTCGAGGAAAAATATTCATAACTTTCCCTAAGAATAAATATTTTCTGAGAGGATATTTGGTCATACTTGAATGATCAAACGGCGTTTTTACTTAGCACGGCAGTATTCTCCCCTGATAGCAAAGAGAGCGGTAATTCTCAAATTTTCGAAATCGAGTTTTCCTCAAAATCCGTCTAATCTCTTTTAGATGAAATCACTGAAATATCTAAAACAGCAAAAATTGCCTTTAATGTATGAAAACGAGATATACGAGAAAGCCGTGAGTGCGCAAACAATGGATCACGGATATTTGCGTGAAAATTATTTTTGTTACCCGCTGTGTAATTTGTTTTATTATTGTATAAACTAAAACATATAAATGCAAAATTAAATATACCGCGTTACAAATTTTCAGTCCTAAAAAGTCCTCCTACAAATTTGTTGTTTCGTGGTTGTTTTAAATTCGCCTTCAGCTGTGTCTGCAGCAATTGTTGTTACGAATATGTTGTGCGTGCTGATCTCAGTTCATTACATACTTGACTCTTAGAAGGCGTTTAATGTGCGAAAGTAGAGCACCCTGTTGGAGAACAAAAGAAGTGAGATTGAACGAATCGTTTGATCCCTTTTTCGTTCGTTCTCCGACAGATTGCGCTACTTGTGCACAAAAAACGCCTTCAGAGAGTCGAGTATGTAATTAGCTATAATCAGCACGCACAACATATTCATAACAACAATTGCTGCAGACGCAGCAGAAGGCGAATTGTTCAGTTAAAAAAAAGAGCATGATAGGAAGTCTGCATGTGACGAAAGGGTATGTATTCGATTGAAATGAATCGAGCGAAGAATAAAAACGTGAACCGATTGACACAGTTTCTATGGACAAATAAATAATAAAACTGATCAAAATCAGCAGAAAACTTGCATTCACTATGAAAATTTCAAATTGCGGTATCACGAGATTAGGATCGGCCAAGATTTTGATTTTCCGCGATTTTAAGTCCACACGTACCATCGACTCACCCCCTGCAAACCGTTTTTGGGTACATTCTTGTCACATTTGTTTTTGCTCCCGGTTCCAAATACATCCCCATCTATCATAAATTAAGAGACCCGAGACGCGATTCTGCCAGACTAGAGTGAAATGAAGGGCCTGGAGGACAAGGCGCATAAGTGCGGTTTATGACAAAATTGAGATACTAATGATTTCAAGCAAAACGTAGATTCAAGTAGATTCTGTGAAAAATTCGCTCCCAAATTCAATTTTTAAGCATTTAAAAGTCAGTTTGAACTTTTTTTCTGCCAAAAGGATCCAAGTAATTTCGGAACTTCAAAAACGTATTTCTCGAGATAGCAAAACCTGCACTTACGCGCCTTGCCCTCTATGGACCGATTATAAGACCTCTGCGGGTCATTTATTGAACATGATAGACAAAGCCACAGACAAAGAAGACAAAAGAGATATGGAGGGATCCTATTGGTGGAAACAGGTGGTGGCAATGGACATAGGAAGTAGGTAATAGACTAACTAACGGCAACCCACTAAAGACCCGACAGTTAGTCCATCATTTTCTCCCTTTGTCTATAGGAACCACCCATTTCAACCAATAGGATAGCTCCATACTCCCTACGTCTTCTTTGTCTACCTCTTTGTCCATCAATTTCAATAATCAGTCCGCAGGTTAGGTGCTTGTTAAAGTGGTAGTTTAAGCTAACCAGAGCTTGACAAGGGGTAAGTGTGCACGACTCCCGGTTTTTTTTCAGGTCGAGTCCCGGTCAGAATTCGTTCTCTCTCGCAAACCAGTAGTTAGGCTGATTAGCAGATTGACTGCTGGTCAGAGTCTGACCACTGGTTTGGTAACCAGAGGTTGACAAAAGATCTTAAAAACGGCCCTAAGCCCCTCAAATGTACCTGCTTGACCGGTACCGACGGGGGAAAAAACAGTTTTGGCGGCACCCTGTAGGTAGGTGCAAAAGCAACAGATCCTGTTCATCTATGTATGGGTATGTGTAGGGAGGACTTTTATTGGCCGTTTGGCGTTGCCACATAAAAGGAAAACATGATATCTTCCGCCACCCGATGCATCGACAAAGCTGGTCCGGTCTAAATGGCCATGATAAATTCATTGTTGATGCTCGTTGGGCCTTTATTTTGTGACGGCGAGTCTTGAATGTCCTTGCACGCCGTTTCGATAGGAGACCGTCTCTCTCGCCCTCTCTCCCGCGTTTTACGTCGCGGCCCGCCAGCGCCGCGGTCGTTTTATTGGTTTTAAAACCGAATTCTGCTTACACGGCGACAGTGTCCTCTTGAAAGTGTTTCGTGCAGTTTCTTGCTCGGAGTTCCGTGATTTGCATGGAAATCGCCGTTGCCCGGCGCACAATGCATCGAGTCAATTAGAGAGGTCGCACATGAAATTTTTGACTAAAACTGCAAATTTTCATGTTTAAGGTGATTCGATGGACGCCATATTTCGTGTCAGAACGGCACGCGATAAATCGCATCAATTGGGTCCATTTTTTCAGCTACTCGTCATTTTTCTCCAATTTTGAGATCGCAATTCTGTTGTCAGGAGACTAAAGCACTCACTTACCAATTTTAACTAAGAAATTCAACGTAATAAAGGCGTGGTTTTTTTTAGAGAGAAAACATCGCATTCGATACTGATATCAAAACTGCATTCTAATGCGATATTTTCTCTCTGAAAAAACCACGCCTTTGTTACGTTGAATTTCTTTGTTAAAATTTGTAAGTGAGTGCTTTAGTCTCCTGACAACAGAATTGCGATCTCAAAATTGGAGAAAAATGATGAGTAGCTGAAAAAATGGAACCAATTGATGTGATATATCGCATGCCGTTCTGACACAAAATATGGCGTCCATCGAATCACCTTAATTAGTCGAATTTTAAATTTGAAGGGAACAATTTTACCAGAAAACCAATGAGCCGCTTTTAAAACCTCAGAGTTTTCAGCTTTTAAAGTTTCCAAATGTTGTCCGACCTCTCGTATTGACTCGATCCATTGTGCGGCGAGTGATTTTCGCGGGTTGGAAACGTTGTTTTTCCTCGATTTCATTCCAATCAGTTGTAAATACTCGATCCTGAACGAGGCAGCCCTATTTTGATGGATATCGATTGATTTAAATGTATTTAAATGGGCAACACCCAGTGTTGTCGACTTGAGATGATTGCCACACGTTTGATAATGTTCGGTGATGTTGGGTGCTTTGCGATACATCGATTGATCTGCCATTTGAACCTATGAAAGAGGATCGATAAACAGAGTGTTCGCAAGCAACTCCTTAATAATCGATTCTTTACCATAGCTTCGAATGGGGAAAAATCCATGATCGATCATTCACGCCTCGCCACTGGTAATGTTGCTAGTAAGCGCAAATTGGAAATAGAGACATATCGTGGAATTAACTCTCAA